TGTATATAACGAGTTTCTTTGTTTGTTTCTTAGTTCGAGGTAATCTCATAATAAACTGACCCGATTTTTAAAATTTTTCACCATTGAAAAACTTATTGCTTTCTGATGTACCGTACTGTACATAATCTATCTTAAAACTCGAATTCATTGCTCCTCCTTGCTCATTTAGCTTCTCTGACAAACTACCACATTTTTCGCCTGATCTGAACCAAATTCCGCATAGTTACTCTGTAGTATCCACGATAAACATGGACTACATAAAACTCCTCTCACTTCTCTCTGATTTTAAACACTATTCCCAAACTCCTAAACCTTTTGAGCGATCTGAAGAAATTTTGCATAGTTACTCTCTATAATTCTCCAAATCATATACATCATACATGCTACTTTAAATCTCGGATTTTCACTTCTTTTTCTGATTTCATCCCCACAGATTTCCAAATTTTTTGGCTTATTTTGCATCAAATTTTACATAGTTACTCTCTGCCACCTTGCGGGAAACCTACGTTACCTTATAACGAGAACAACTCAATCCTCTCCTGAGTTACCAGGCAACGCTGAACATTCTTTGCTAGTGTATAATATGCATTAAATCTTGCAAGAAACAATTATGTTAACGTTTACTTTTTACATAAAGTCGAAAATTTAAAAGAAAGTTTTATATTTTGTAACATTATTCGGTTAAAGATTAGTTAAAATGTAGGATTAACGAAATAATTAAAATTGGATAGATTTTGCAACTAACAAATAAGGTTAGCATGATATTGTATTTAACTGAGAAACAAAATTTTCATAAATGCAATGTTTTTATCTAGTATACTAATAACGAAATATTATCACTATTATTTTTTATTTCTGACTCAGTAAATATACAGTCTAATCAATAACATCATATACAGTTTAAAGGAAGGACATAAAAGGTGTTTTAGGCACGTAATGGGATATGTGTAAGAATGGAGAAACACTAAATATAAATACGCCTGGAGACTTTTTAGGAATTTACTTTCAAGTTTTTTTGGGCTCTCCTGCACCCGTATAAAATGATACCTGATGACTCAGTATAAAAATTTATAAAAATTTCAAATCTCGTTTCTTTCCAAATTTGCCATCACTCTTTATATTCCCCTTTAATTAAATGCAAATTCATTTTTCATAACTAGGTTATATGTTTCTGTTGAGACTGTTAAGAAGGCTATCACGAATTTTTCAAATTCTCGAGACAGCTCCGACCACATTTCTGCTATTTGTTTTATTTTAGTGTCTCTCCAATTGCTGCTGCTGTTTAATTCCTGTTTTCCTCTGATATAATTGGATCTATATTTATCCCAGATCAATAGACTTTCCCAAATTATCGCTATTCTTAAGGTGGTTTAAGTTTTATGCATCGATATTCATCTCTTCACCTATGATGAAATTATTCTTAGTTTGTTTATTTGATTACATTTCACCATTTGTTCAAGCTAGAATTTCTCATTTTAAATATTGTATTTTAAACTGTGGTTCTATACACACAAATTTACAATTGCAATTTATTATTATTGACAATTCAAAAACCATCTTATGACGTATATATTCATAATAAGCAGGATTTTGATTCTACTCTAACTTCAAAATTGTTGAACGTTCTCAAAAATTACTAGACATTTATCCATCAGTCATGTTATGGTTCAATAATGTTTTTACTTTCCCAGCTCTGTTATAGATAACAGAGGGAAAGTATGAAAATCTGTCAAAAATGACCACACCAAAGTTTTACATTTTTCGACTCAGAACGTTTTGAAATGTTGAGAAATTAAAAAAAAAATCGGAGATTTTTTCTGTATGTATAGATGTTAGTGTATGTGGAGGAGCGCAATTTTGTTCATCCTCTTTGAAACTTAATAACTCTTATGCTTTTTGTCGAAAATGTCTAAAATTTTGCACGGGAATTTGTATTAGGGAGATTGATGCTATTACATTTTGGTGGTTAAAAATCAAAGGGGTAGAGAAATAAAGGGTGTCGTGTATATCTCCAGTAGGGTCGACTTAAATGCATGATTATTTTACTCGTTATTATCATTTACAATTTTTTTAAAACCCATCCCTACCCTTCAAAGTAAACTTTTTGCCATTTAATAATAGTTAAAAATATAAAAAGTTTTTTTAAAATAAAATATCATAACGGATGACGATACCAAAATTTTAAATGTTGCCCGGAAAGTTGAGTAACTCGTTGCTGGTTTATTTTATTTTAGTGTCTCTCCAATTGCTTCTGGTGTTTAATCCAGGTTTTTCTCTGGCATAATTGAAACAGCATTTATCCCAGATCACCGGAAGAAGAATTATCGCTATTCCTAAGAAGGAAGTCAAGTGATGAATATAGGCTAGATGTGTAAGAGTTCTTACACATTTATATTCGTCACTTCATCTATAATGAAATTCGAAGCTTGTTTATTTGATTACATTTTTCTATTTTTTAAGCTAGGGTTTTCAATTTCCAACATCATAGCTTAAACTGCTGTTCTACGTGCACAAATTTACTACAATTACAATGTATTATTATCGCAATTCAAAAACCATCTTAAGTCATATACAATATATGATATACTGTATATATATTGATAAAAAGCAGTCTTTTGATTCTGCATTGCTTTCATAATTGCTCAACGTTTCTACGATGTCGTGTAAACTGGCGATCTTAGAATCACTCATTTCGAACCCGTTACTCGCCAAAAGGATTTATATGCTTTGATTTTTGCATTCGAACCTTTTAATTTATCTATTGGCTCTCAAAAACCTCTTGCGATGCGTTATACACGTATTTAAAAACATTATTATTGCATATACGAATTTGCCTTACATGTCTGCATATTTTACTCGTAAAAATGATTTCTGTATTAGTCATATTATAAACAATACTGTTGCAATGATACAAAATATAAAATCAAAGTGTGAAAAATTAGATTGTTCATTTTAAACCGTAAACTAATTTTATAGCGTGTTCAAAGTCAATTAAACAAATTGCGTTTATATTTTTATTTATAGATGTAAATCGTTAAAAAATATTTCAACAAAACCTGTAATCTCATATCCTGCAACTATCGAACATTACAGCTATTCCTAATATTTTCGCTCGTGATTACACACTGTCACCAACAAGCTAACAAGCTTCAGACCTTAATGCTCATGACAAAAAAGACAAGATTTAATATGAAAATAGAGTAGCATAGTCCCAAAGTTTTTTTATTTTTTTTATATTGTTAATATTATGGACAATTTCCTCATGCATGCTTGTTACACTTCAAATATAACAATATCATAAAAAAATAAAAATTTTATTTAACGACATTAAAGAGTAAAACTAATACAGACTTCGTTTTCGATAAACAAGAAATGAGATTACGATTTTTAATTTTTTGTTTTTCGAAAACGCATGAGAAGTGGGTCCTATTATTTAGTCAAGCAGCTTTTGTATTTAGAGCTACGAGCTCCAGTTTCCTTGGAATCGAGACCCCAACGCCTGGCTCTCTCTTTGTTAGTGTCGATTCTATGATCTAAGTAATACTGATACAAACTTTGGTCCAAGTAGGTTTAAGAATAAAAATTTGTACGGAGATTTGTCTGTATAAAGGACAAGCCAACAAAAACTTATTTATATATATAAGCTATAGATTTCGGCTAGTAATTATTCAACATAAAATTGTATTGTATACTGGCACGAAGAAGTGACCGTTTAACCAACACTTGGCAAGTTTTCCATCTTTATTTAGTTAGTACGCCGTTGGTGGAATTTAAATGATAGATGTGTTTTTTAAAAAACAGTTTTATATTTTTTCAAGATAATAAATGTCTATTAATTGCCCTGTCAGTACATTAAATCAAGGTATACTGTGATATATGCAAATTGGCTGACTAGATGATAGTGTTGGAAAGATGGTCTACAGGATATAGGATGGTCTACGAAGACGAAGGGCATGATTTTATATAACAGTTATAATTAGTACTATTCATCAATTACTTTGTCTGCATGTCAAAAATTGGATTTTAAGAAAACCGATTGTGTCATTGTAAAAAAGTGTAAAAAGACGGCATTTATGGTAGTCGTTATGTAAACCTTTTCGGTCGCCTAGAGATCTGCTATGTACTAGTTGGGTGTCTGTATTAGAGTGAGGCATGTTTCACTGGTTCTAAAAAAACAATTTTATTGTATAATTATAGTTTATGTTCGGTTATAGTTAAATGTGTTTTTCGTGTTATTTTATACTTGTTTAGTTAGCTGAAGAGGGGAGAATACCCGAAACGCAAATGTGTAGCATGGCGTACTAACTAAATAAAGATGGAAAACTTGCCAAGTGTTGGTTAAACGGTCACTTCATCGTGCCAGTATACAATACATAAACAACAACACGGTTTCGATAACAATAAAATTGTATATAGCGCCATCTCTTATAAGATTTTATTAAATGAATTATATATTACTAATTATGAAAAGACAAAATGCTTAATTTTGAGGTTAGAGATGAGTTTTTAAGAAATTGTAAATGCCAATAACGAGTAAAATGTTCGTTAAGTCCGAGATATGACATATCACCCTCCTGTGTATCCCAACTCCTCCACTACGAAATTTAATAGCATCAATGCCTCTTATATACACTTATTTTAAAATCTGTTCTAATTTACTTTAAATCCTTGTTCTTTTGCCTGAAGAAACTTCATTAATCAAGAGAAAATGATTGTTATATATTTTATATATACATAAATATAGTGTTCTTATTGAACACTTTTATTTTTAGTAATGCGGGCTTCAGTGTATCTTTTCATAATTTATTTAAAACTCAATGTCTTAGTTATTCAATAAAAGTTTAATAGAATAGAAATTTATTGAATTTATCAGCATAAGTTTATTAATAAGTTTGCTTTAATTTTTGTTGTTGTAGCCAATATCTCAAATGAAAAATCATGCTTTGCAATAGTTTTTAATGAAACATTTTTATTGTTAATTTTTTCTGAGCACCTTCATAATATAAAATTTAATTTTACATACAATTTATAACAACAGCGTTATTAAATAATTGATATATTTATCATTATAACAATTGGTAAGCAATTGACATACGTTTAATAAGAATATTAAAGTCAGATTTAGATCATTTTAAACTATATTTCCGTGATTTATTCTCCGGTTATTATTTTGACAATATTCTGCTAATTCTTCCCAACAACATCCATTGACATTATCACAGCATTCTTGAAAAATTCCTCTTTTTCTTCGTTTTAATACGCGGTTTCTTTTGTTTATTCCAAAGCTATATGCTGAACCAATCGGCAGATATTCATCTATCATAAACAAAAACAAACAAAAAAATGCTTTTAAAACGTTTAAAATTATTTTTACATCTCTTAAAATAACATCTTACCTCTCTTCACTAAACTGCTAAAAGTATTTGAATTGTGAGAAAGATCCTCATTATCTATTTTGTAAATATCTTTTTCACAAGCTAATGACACATAGCTATCTATTGTGTGAAAATCACATATTCGTTGCTTTTCTGTATGCCAATGTGATTTCCATTCTTCCAAATTTCTAAAAATTAATAATAAATAAATAAATAACATATATAAACATTATATTTATTATTTTATAATACTTTAGAATCATAGTGGAGAGAAGAAATCTTTAAAATGAAGATTATGATAAAAAAAACCAGTGTGGATCCTTCAATAGATTCTTCATTCATCAACATTGAATCGAAACTATCCATTTTTTTTCGTGCCTGTTGGGAGCTGAAAGGGACTAAAGCCCTTCCTTTGACACCCACAAAAAAAAAATGAAATTTATTTGTTCTAACTTCAAAGCATTGTTTTTAAAAACGTTTGCGATGATGAATGTAGTTTATCAAACCATCTGCAATACACGTGTTAAATTAATAAGAGGTGCTTATAATTATTTGAATACTGTACTTCTAATTTTTGAGTTAATCCTCTTTGGGTTCCTTAAACATTAAAATTGCTGTTTTAAATGACCTAAACATATCATGAACTAAGAAAGATCCTAATCAGAGCTGATTAGGATCTTTCTTAGTTCATGATATGTTTAGGTCATTTAAAACAGCAATTTTAACGTTTTTTTGATAAAAAAAAATCTTAAACTTAGATAGATAGCCGAAGGACAAGGCGGTAACGCATCAATCTGGAGATCAATCTCGGGAAATTTTCGTGGGTGGTCTGTCCCGAATATTTCGAGCTTCGTCCTTCACCATTCTGCCGTCCCAATTGTGAGCCCGGCTGAACCCACGATGGGAATGATTTAAAAGGCTCTTTTTTCTTTCTTTTAGTTGACGGATATTGTAATAAAATTGATAATATCTACACTGAGAAATAAGCGAACTTGCATAATTCTTATGAAATTTGTTTATTTGAATAAATTAAGCAAAACGTTAAACATACCTTGATTCATATAGTTTCTTATTTTCTTCTGTAAGGGCTGTGCATTGTAATAACCACGTTAACCAAAGAATTACAACAAAAAACAGCCGAATTGCCATTCCAAATTCTCTTAAAGCATCGAATAAATTTCTCTGTAAACACACAAAACATTTTCAAACAGTAGAATAGTATTAAAAAAAATATAAATTATAATATAAATATAAATTATAGATATCATAGATATAACGGATAATCCAATTGTTAACATTTGAAACGGATAATAATTTGGATTAATTTTCGTTCTGAATTAATTGGAAGTTGCATGATTCAGATAACAATTTGATAAGCTTTATTAAATTCAATTTAAAAATTTATAAAATAAATTATGCAGAGTTTTGTAGTTGCTAAGTTATCCTAAAACGTTCAAATCATATGACGAGCAAGTCTAATTTTGGTGTTTTTAGCCTTAGCATGTGGAGTTTGCTTAAAAGCGACTTCTTTATCTAATGCGATACAGATCCGAAACAACAAATTCTACTTGGATCCCAGGTACAAAAAAATAAATTATGGGAAATTGTGTAAAAGTTTTTATTAATTATCTCAAAATTAGAATTTACTGGCATGGATTATTCTTGCTTTGAAGTCGTAATATATCCATTTTCTCAGGAACTTTCTTTTGTACAAAATGCACACAAAACATTCTCCAAACAACGGCCATTTTTTATGTTCCTATCGGTGGCCGTTGTTCAGAGGCTCAACTACATTAATATTAATTGTCGATAGGAATTCAGGCATAGTATTTCTACTAATTTAAATGTATATATAAATTAACAAAGAGTAGCATACTTCTGCAGCAATTCACTAAAAGATAAACTCTATTTTAATTAAGGTGCATTCATTTTATTTTCCAAGCAAAGATAGGTTGTAATGAGTTCTCTTAATTTTTCTGATCATGTTATTTACTTTAATCAATTTATTCTACGTATCTTTTCAACGTTACTTCTTTCGTTGTGCCAAATATTTTATTAAAATGTATATAATTATTTTTATAATTGTAATGCTTTTTTATTTTAGTCTGTTAAATATTCATTTAATAATGAGAACGATTCTTACTCATTCTTCGAGATATCATCTATTTGAAATATTTTTTAAAAAAATACATGTACAAGACATTCTAATTCTAATGGTCCATGCACAATAATTTAGCGATTTGTTTTTCTTGAATTTCCTAAATATTAAATTATATTGAACTAAATAGTATAAAAAATAGTGAATTAAAATAGTTTTACTGTTTTGCTCTCTAAATATTTTCAAAGTAAGTTCTAACCTTAAAACACGAGGTTTTAATTAATTTTTTCTACGAAATAAATGAAAATTATATGAAAATAAACATGATAGTAAGAGTTAACGTATCTCTACGTACTGATTACATTTTACTATGAATGTAAATATTAGTATTTATTCTAGCCATTTTTCTAAATTTCCAATTATTTATGAAACATATCTTTAAAAAAGGAAGTAAAAAATTTATTCTTATTTTTTGTAATTAAAAGCTTAATCATAAAGATAACTTACCAGACAACAATTAAAGAGTACACATCAGCTGCGTGGTTCATACGGAATTATTCTTTATATATAAGATTTTCTACACAGATGAGGCTGAAAATAAACAAGAAATCGGAATAACGTCATAAATATTTGTCCAATTGGTTGTTAGTTACGAAGTAATAATGTTAATGCGAGTGCAATCTCTTTAAATAAACTATATTTGGATTGGACAACGTTTGACGACATTTCCTCTACAACTTTTCTATTCAGAAAGAAATGATTGAATAGAGTGAGATAATGGACTTTAAGTGAAGCAGACTATTTTAGGAAAAACAAATATAAACATTTACATTGTCTGATGTATAATATTTTTATTATTATTATTATTACATCCGAATTAATTATTACATCCTAAATATTAATACATTATTAATTATTACATTCCGAAAAAACTATATAAAAAAACGAATATTAAACTGTAAATTATATAAATACAATAATTAATAAAGTATAAATTTTGTACATTTATATAATTTACAGTTTAATTATTATAAACTGATAAAATTTTAGCATATTTTGAAGAGAATTAATATCCCTATATAAATTTTTATTTTTGTTTTTTAAAAAATAACTTTTATAACTAATTTGTTCCTGAGATGTGAAAAGGACGAAAGATAAAGAAAGACAAAGAATCTCTGTATTACTTTCCTATGAAAATTTTTAGATATTTTCTTCTAATTTTTTAAAAATTTATATTGTTAATTATTATAAAATGTAAAATACGTAATTTTGAGGAGGTTTTATTTATTTATTTATTTTTAATGTAAATGCTTATAACGAGAAAAATTTTCATTAATTCTCACTCCTCTCGAGAAATGACATTGACCCAGTCGACTTTTAATCACTAAAATTAATAGCATCAATGCCTTTTATACACAAGCTATCGTGCCAAATTTCGTTTCTTTATCATTACACCATCCTGAGATACTAAACGAAATAAAGGCCAAAACGGGCTCACACATACACATATTATATGTATGGCGTGTGTAAAATTTTAGTTGAATATTAGAATAAAAGAAAAAAAAAACATAAACAAAACGCAGGAATTACTTTTATTGGACTTCAATGTACAGTACTTTTTATGAAACACAATAAATCTTTGACAACGTTCGTAAAGTTATCGGGCACAGTTAGGAAATTCTTGTTTGAGAATCGCCTTGTGGTGATTTCTAGTAACCGTGAACAAATCAAAAGGTGAGATAAGATTAACAAGAATATTTATTAGCTTACATCCGACTTGGATCTTACACAAAAGACATTTGCTATCGTGAACAATTGACGAAATAAAAGTATATATTTATCAGATAATAGACAAAGACTCAGTTTGTAAACAATTTACCTTTTGTATATACAACTGACACTCGATCCAGAGCGGTCTTTTAATGACCGGACATAAAAAATGAACAGATGACGCTTAACTTAAGCGCGGTTTACGAAACGAATATGATTAATCTTAACACGCCTTAAGTATTTTGTCACACGGACCCGAATCGCACAGACGTTTACGAAACTTAATATCTTAATGATCTCTTCGAGGCGAGAAAAGAAAAGAAAACAGTCACACCATGTTGAGTCAAGAACTGGCACACATGGATCACATTGCACTGGCTCGAAGTGCCGCAAAACTTTCTTTTTAGTCTTGCAGAACTATGGCTGTACGTATTGGATGTGCTGTAACAAACGTTTCAGAACTACCAGGAAGAATGCAGCAGTCATGTCTTGACTGGTAGGAACAAATTCCATACGGATGATTCCATCCTTGTTCAAAAGTTTTGTCTTGATGTTTGATTTTTTCAGGTGACTCTTTTGGGTCGAGACAAAGAAGGTGTCAGTCATTTTATTGACTACCTCTTGAAATCGGAATGAAAGTGGTAACAATATGTCTCATTACGTATGGCAATGGATCTAAGAAAGGATGGAACCTAATCACACACGGCAATAGAATCTCCACAGGCTTCGAAACTTCTTGCTTTTACTTCCCCGGCTTGTTAATGTATATAACACGGGAAAGTATTGAAATAGACTCAGATTTTACTTTCCAGGTTTTTGCAAATGTCGACGTTTTGAAGCCCACTAGACCCAAAAACAGCCAAAAATACGGAGAGGAAATTTCATTCACTAAATTTAAACTTTTATTAAAGTATGAACTTGTTTCTTCTAACAGCCTTAATTCTACTAAGCCTGACAAAAGAATTTTACATAGCATCAAACTCTAGTGCAATGTAAAATTAACGGATGAGCATTTACAGAATTTCTTCACCCGCCTCATGTCATAAATTATATTAAGATATATATTCGATTTTGAGCTTTGCTTTCTTTTACTATATATTTTCAAACCCTGAGGGTTAAAATGAAAATTTTACAATGTTAATACAAATAATGATTCCCTTAATCCATTATTATTTATTATGATTATTTAATTATTTATTCAAAGTGATGACAAGTTTTATTCATTTATACGATAATTTTCTTTTTAGTCTTTTGAAATTCAACTTTATTTCGCTTGAAGTTTCGAATGCTTTTTCGTTTGAAGTCTCTTTTGAAATACGTTGTAATTTTGTTCTTTTGTTCGAATTTCTATTTCTAAACATTTTAAACTTTGTATCACTTAATTTTATTCAGTATCGAGTTACTATTGTGGTGTATTTATTAATATCGAGAATTATTTGGTATTGACGATACAAATTGAATAAGGTATGCAGTCGAGTTCGAGTCTTTTGCAAATTCAGGATAGTCCCAAACAACCTTCTTTACCTGAATTGGACCAGAAGGAAACAGAATTTTTCCAGTTTGTCAAGAAAGGAGACTTAAATGAATTAAAAGATTTCTTGTCGGTAAAGATTTTTGAAGTATTATGTTTACGTATACGAGAAATCTTTTACGTATCTTTTAAAAATTTCATAAACACAATAAGGAAAGGTCGTTTTCTATCTATAAGTATCTCATTAATTTTCGATTAATTTTCAGAATAATCAATTAGACGTAAATTGCGTTAATTATCAAGGTTCTTCTGCTCTTCACATCGCAGTCGAAAATGAAAACGTCGAGATGGTTCAGTTTTTACTCACCGTTCCCAACATAGACATAAAAGATTGTGTTCTTCATGCCATACGCACAGAAAATATAAAAATTATAGAAATAATATTAAATGCTCTTAAGTAAGTACAAAATAATTAATTCGATGATTTTGAATTTTCTAAATTTGATTAATTTCTCGCTCCAGGGAGAGAGATTTGGAATTCCAGCCTTACTATAAGAGCATAGAATTTGATTATGGCATGACACCTCTTGTACTAGCTGCTCAAAGAGGTTCTATTGAAATAATTCGGCTTTTATTAAAAAGAAGTCATCAAATACCCGAACCGCATTTCCCAACATGTAAGATTTATATATTTTAAATATGTTTTATTATTTATATATAGGCTAATCAAACTTTTCATAAGTGAAATAGTCCGCTATATTTGAAGTTGTTACTATGAAATTCTTAAAAATGTTTAAAAGTTTTTACAAAAGAAGCTTCAAACTTAGAATTATCTATTTTAAAATTAATTTATTCTAAATAGGTAAGTGCAGAGATTGTAAAAGTCTTGCCAAAGATGTGAGTGCAGATCCAACTTTACAAAGATTAAATATATACAAGGCTATATGTAACCCCTACTTTATTTGTCTTACAACAAACGATCCTATCTTGACAGCTTTTATACTGGATAAACAAATAAGAGATTCCGCCGAACTAGAAAAAGAATTTACGGTTTGTTTCAAACTCAAATTTCATCTTGAAAATTGAAAATTTAATTAACCAATTAACACTTTCAGCTGGAGTATAATGCCTTGTCGGAATGCGTTCGAAATTTCGCAGTAGATTTATTATCGCAATGTCCAAAACCTAATGAAGTAGAACGGATTCTGCAAATTAAAAAAGGTTTTAGCGGTTTGCATTTGAAATATCCGAGATTACAAACTGCTCTCGATTACTCTCAGAAAGAAGTAAGTTTTAATGGCATTAAAATAAAACCTGACTTATTGATTTGGATTTTAAAACAAATATTTTGAATTTTAGTTTGTGGCTCATCCTCATGTTCAGAAAATAGTTAGCGCGGAGTGGAACGGTGCATGGTTAACTTGGATAAGATATTCCCTAGCTCGGAAAGTGGCTCATGTACTGCTTAGAATATTTATTTTTCCTTTCGTGTGTATCGTTGTTATGACAGCACCAAACACTTATTGGGGTAAACGATGGCGTTGTCCTCTAAACAGATTTATAAATGAATTTGTAGCATATTTTATATTCTTCGTCTTGCTTTTTACAATGATTGGCATCGATACGAATACTTCTGAAAGAGGTCCTCCAAATACAGGTTATTTTCTATTTGTTTCATATTATTGTAATTTTTTATTATTAATTTTAATTTATTCTTTAATTTTAGGATTGGAGATTCCAGTTGTACTTTGGGTTACTGGATTCGTATGGGCTTCAATCAGACGCCTCGTACTGTTTGGCTATAAAAGATTTTTTAAGAATCTATGGAACTGGTGGGATTCCATTGTTTTTTTTATTAATTTTAACTTTTTAGACCCTCTCTGTGGGCATTAAGAGAGTCTATTTTCTCATTGGCGTCAATCTGTATATATAGACTATATATTGGGAGGGGCCGCCATTTTCAGCCCGCTTCAGTTACAGAAAATTCTTGCAACGAAACTCGAATGTTGTAGAATCGAACAATGGTTTAAATTAAAATCCATTGCTCTTTTTTATTTTATTCAAATTTTATTTTTTTGTTTCGTAATTAAGTCTTATTCGGATTAACTGTTAACATATTGAAATGCCGTTTAAAATTATATTCGTGTTAATTAAACCATTCTAATATTTATATTTATATTTTTGTGTTAATTCAAACTGTTATTCGATTCTATAATATTCAATGTTCTATTGCAAAAGTTTTCTTTAGTTGAAGCTTGTCTAAAAGGCCGAAAGTGTTTTT